TGATCGACATAGAACATCCTACTTGTGTGAATAATGAGTGTGTTAATGCATCTGCAGTAGCTACCAGAATTAGATTAATTGTGACAGATGCACTTAAGAGTCATTATATGGCACAGGATGTGCATATTGGGGTCAGGCCTAGAAACAGCATGTCTAGGTGCCTTAAAGGCCTTCAGCCTCTGGACAATTAGCTACATGGGATGGGGATCCATTCCTGCAGGAACCTTCCTCCTGATGATTTCAAGAGGAAGTTACACTATAACAGATGTGTCCAAGTTGACTCACATAGGATGTTGGTGTAATTTTGTTCATGCAAGAATCTAATAAATGAAAGGTCATATTCAGTGGCCATATTTACTCTACCGACTTGTTTATTGCAAAACAGCATGGGAAATGGAACACCATCTTCCCTCTACTGCTTTTCAAGTTAAGTCATTTTTTACTTCTCTGTCAGCTCCCTCCAGCCATTTTGCTGCATTCTGAGATTCGATATCTGTTTGGAAGTTATTTTTTAAACCCACAATTTACAGTTCAGCATCAATAACATGCAGATTGCATTGATTCCCACTACTCAATTTGTGGAGTGATACTTCTGTTCCTTATTTTCTGTTTAACCCTGTTGGGAGGATAAACTTCTAGGCTTCAGAGATACATTTTGTGAATTAAGTACTTGATCAAAAGAAATGTCTGTTCAAATACACACTTATATGAAATCACTGTGTATATCTAGCACAGAACAAGCACTAAAGCAGAATCCCTGAACACACAACTTAGAACATGAGCATTACCTTAATGGATTTTGGGTCAGGACACTGAGAAGAGCATAGTGGTGCCCATAAAGCAGAATGAATGTGGCTGGCAGAACAAATTCTTGCACTGCTTTGCATGTCCTCAAAATTTGTTGAGGATTGGGAGAACTTTGAGCAGATCTAAGGTATGTTGAGAGAACTTTAGGTGGGGCCTGGCTGTGACAGAGAGGGTTAGTCCAATAGGTTGTTTGCATGATGTTCAATGGAACTCCTGGCCTTTGTCCTATTGAGAATGGAACTGCCACTGTTACTCATCCAAGAGCCCGTACATGTTTATTTAGAAGTAAAGACTGCTGGGTACAGTAGGATAAGTTCTAAATAAAGGGAACCTGTGTTTTAACATTTCCCAGCAAGATATATTCTTAAGATATATTAGTAGGTTAACTTTGTGAACAAGGATGGTGGCTTTCTGTTAGCCCTTAAATCATATTGATCATTTTATGGATTGCTGGTATCCAGTGTCAGTCCTACTTAAAGTAGGTCCATTGAATGAATGAGACTTCAATTATAGTAGTGTTGGCAATAAGCCTAAGTATTCAAAATATTTATATAGCACCCTTGCCACAGTTGAAAACAATACAATCCCTCAGAAATTAAGCAGGCCAGACCATTATAGCAGATGGGTAACAGCATTAGGACCTAACCAGTGGTTTCTTCCTCGTTGCCCTCAATGGTGTGTAATTCGAAGATGATGCTCAAACTTGGTCAACCTTCTAACTTCTTGAACTTGAAATGTGGGTGACTTTGCCATATATTGTCCAGCTTGAGGAGAGTGGGTGACTTATCTTGATATTCCATGCATATATTGTATCATAATTTTAATCTCTAAGCTATTATAAAAGCAGCGGCATCTGATTCTTGTTTACAAATGAATGTTGTTTAAGCACATCTGGCAGTAAAGTAGTTTTTTAAATTCTCTGTTCATTAAGGAAGTGATATAAAGAACATTTGACTTCAACTACAAGCTATTTATTCCATAATACTCTTGCTGAAGTGATTCATGGGATTATAGCTGAACAGATTGTTTATGTCGGTCTGCAGTGGTTATGACAGTGAAACCAGTGAATCTGTTGTCACAGCTGTTGAACTATCTAAGCGAGCAAGGAAGAGCAAACCTATCAGTAACTCCGGTTCCAGAAGTACTGTACAAATGTATAATTACTATACGTTAAAGTATAATAGTTGCTGCTGCATTGCTTGGATGCTAGGACAAACTCCTACTGACAGTGCAGCCTTGTATTTTGGCCATGAAATCCAATTCTAGGCCCTATAGCTGCAAAGTGCCATATCAAAGGTTCAGGTTGCAAACCCCTGTCCTAAGGCTTAGCCCATATTTCATATACATGTATACATTTAGGGTACAGCGGAGTAAATGTTAAAATAATTTTAAATATTAAAAAGGTTTTATATGGAAAGGGTGGATGGAAAACGTTTTCGCTATTTCTAAAAAGTGTGTAAAATGTATACAATCTGTTTTGTTGTGCAATAGTAAACAAGCTAAGAGTATCTTTGAGTCTGAAACTGCATTTAAAGCAGTAGCAATCCTAACTACAATTGTTGAACTCTGTAAGACTGACTTCTGAGTAAACATGTGGAGGATCAGACTGTGCACAGCTGGAATCCTACACACACTACCCTGACAGGAAGTGCTGCTGAATTCTGTGCTGCTGAACTTACTTTTAATAATGTAATAATAATAAATTGCATAGTATAAGTTGCACAATATCTGATTTTGGGCCTGCCTGTTTTTGTTAAATGGGACAATCAAGTATAATTTTAAAATGCATTGGCACATATTTCAAAGAAAAGATGAAAAAAGAACAAATTCCAGTACACATGATGTAATAATGCAAATAGACTGTTGGCAAAAATAGATATAAAACATAGTCCCGGAATACATTGCTCTATTAGTATGTCATAGATCTAGGTTTGTTTGCAGTTAACAAGCTAACAAATGCCCTGTCAGGTTGTAAGATGTTTTGGTTGGAATGCGGCTTTAAATAATGCCTTAAATATATTTTATATTTGAATGCTTTCTGTGACTTAATTTATTGTATAATACCTTGAGATGTGTCTACACTTTGGGGTATGTGTATTGGTTAACCAGTTCAATTCACTTGATTATAGGTAATTTTGGCAAAGGTTAGAAAGATATATCAGGTGTGCACAACCTTTTTGCGCTCGAGGGTTATATGTTGCTCTGACTATAGAGTCAGGGCCTGTACACATACATTCCAGGGATATATGAAGATGCTGGGGGATAAGCACCTTCCCTCCACCTGCTCCCCCAGTGATACAGGACTCATTTTCCTTGTTGGCTTCTATCTAGATTGTTGGGGACAGGAATTTGTGCGGTGTGGTCAGAGTACCTTTAACGTGTATAATATATTGTTTAAAAGGCTGCATGGATGATACCAACCTCAGTTCTGTTTAGGTCAGGTGAATATCATGTATGTTTAATTAGGAAGAGAACACAGATAAATAACTTAGGGTCCACCTAGCTCAGTCCTGATTCCATGGTGCTAGCATCTGTTCTCTGGCATTCCAAGCAAGATTTTGAGCCTCGCCTGAGACATCAAGAATTGAACATGTATACAAAATATATTTTCTGCTGTGGCAGTGTGGCCTTTCCTCTAAAAGTACTGGCTGTTTTATGTGAATTGGCTAAGGGCAGACTTTTGGTAAAGCAAATTCTATTGTGAATTTCTGAAGAAATTATTAAATGGTCCAACAGTGCTTAAGGTAATCCAGCATGTTAATTTATATATTATACTCTTCCACTGATGGCATATTTTGTGAACACTTCACTATTCAGCAGTCCGGCCTCATGACTTGAGGTGCATGATTAAACAGGAAAAGAGCATTGCAGGACACAAGCTTGTTAACAGGATGATACTAGTTTTTGGCACTGAGCACAGCTACAGTATAACCTTGACAACTTTAGTGGGGGGCACTAATTTTGAGGACTACAGAAATTTGGGTTGATTTTTTACTTTGAGCTTGATAAATTTTGTATATATTTTTACATTATATGAAGTGACTAATAATTAGTTGTGAAGACCTCTCTTTGAGTCCGTACTTGAACAAAAATTATTCACAGTCCATCATTAAAGAGAATGTGTACACACACACACTTTATTTTCGTCTTCAAAGGGAGTGGAATTTTAAGACTACTCAGCAGTAGAGAAACAACAAGGAACATGATCACAATTACCTCAATTAAAGTGAGATGAGGAAGCTTCTGTTTTACAGCCATATTTTCCTTGTAAGCTTGTTCATCCTATCTGCCACTGGGCTGATGAGAACTTTCCATAGGAGAATTTGCCACAGAGCTTTTTGTGTCCCTGCTAAAGACAAGTGAAGAGATGACACTATGAAGGCCTGTCTCAGTGCTGAATGTAAGCAAGTCAGAGAGGTGCCATATCCCATGACACAGAAAGCAAACCGCTCCATGCTCCTGCATGCTGAAAAACAGGCTGATGCCTAGATGGATACTACAGAAAAGTTTTAACAAAAACAAGACACTAGCATGCCATGAACAGACACAATCATTTGTCACCCTCCCAATCAAGTAGGTAAAAGCTGCTGTACTGTGTGCCTAGTGTGGATCATATACCTAATCAGTCGCAACTTTTCAATACGAAAACACCTTGGATACGTAAGCATGTGCGACTGTTGAGGAAACGTATTTCAGAAATGTAACAAGTGCGGGATTTTGGGGTGAAAGTTAATTGCTACTGTATGCGTTCATTCAGTGTAAGGAATAAATTAAGGAAAACACGTGCTATTTTTCCAACCCTTTCCATTGAAAAAGAAATGACTGTTCCATTTTCGCGGAAGTCAAGGTTTGCGCTGCAGCGTTTGTCCTCTGTCCATCCCCCTTTTCTAAACATAACGGGAAGAGCTCGCTTCTCGCTTCCCCGCCCCATAGTTGAGCATGGTAGCGTGCGGGCGCGCGGCCGAAGGCGCGCGTGCGCGCACAACCACACGGAGAAGTAGGAGGAGAAATGGAAACGGAAAAAAAAAACCCCTCAGAAATCTCAGCTGCACTTCTGGCCCTTTTAAAAAGTTTGTGTAAATTGGAATGAGGTCAGATTTGGAGCTTCTCATTGCACGCGGTGATTATTATTACATTGGGTTCCAAGCCAATCAGAGTCGAGAGGGTGGGGTTTGGCACGGCGGAGCGTTGGATACAGCCGGTGATTGGCTGCGGAAATAACTCTGAAAGGATAAAGAGGCGCGAGGTGGAATTGGGGTCCGCTCTAAGCTGCAGCAAGAGAAAGTGTGTGTAAGAGGGAACAGGCCAAGTCTATAGCCCCGGGTTGTACATGTCTCTTTCCTCTCTTTGGGGCTGTGCATCCAAGGGAAAGCGAGACGGGACTCCATACATTTATTGCACCAGTCACTGCTCTTCCTACCAGGAAGACACACAACTATTAATGTTGCTTGGTTGCATGGACGGGGCTTTTTCCCCCCCGTTTAATTCCTCGCAGCTACAGAGTAACAAACGAACAAACTCCTGATCCCTCTACCACGAGTCCTCGATTACGGACGATTTTTTTTGTGGGAGGTGGGCATTTTTTAATTTTTTTTTAAACGGCTTTTGGATTTTGGTGTGCCCTTTAACGAAACAAGAGACTTTTAGTGGTGGGCGTGCTGCTTTTTGCTGAAACACCTCGAGTAGAGTAAAAGTAGGGGGAAAAGTAAGGGGGGAAGCACTTGTGAGCTGCGGGGTGAGGGAAGAGGTGGGAAAAAGAACTTGGATTGGTGGTTTTTTTTTTATGTTTTGTTTTTTAAAGAAAAGCTCTCTCCACTTGGAGTCCGGCTTCTGCAACTAGATTCTCCGTGCAAAGTTGCAGGGTAGAGGCGTGCACAAAGTGCCAGAGAAACAAAGCGGTGTGGAGCTACAACTACTTCTCAGAGGGGACGGTGCCTTAAGTAGCAGAAGGACGGAGCGCTTGCGAAGGGAGCCTGAGAGCACCCAGTGACTGGGAAAGTTGAGTGTCTTGTTTCAAGCTGGTGCCAAACTGAGACCCGCCGATTTCCCCACAGCTGCCGCCGCCGCCAACGCGCGCCAGCCCCCGAGATGGTGCAACAGACGAACAACGCGGAGAACACGGAAGCGCTTCTGGCGGGCGAGAGCTCGGACTCCGGAGCCGGCATCGAGCTGGGCATCGCCTCCTCTCCCACGCCGGGCTCCACGGCTTCAACAGGGGGCAAAGCGGACGACCCGAGCTGGTGCAAGACGCCCAGCGGCCACATCAAGCGGCCCATGAACGCCTTCATGGTGTGGTCCCAAATCGAGCGGAGGAAGATCATGGAGCAGTCGCCGGACATGCACAACGCCGAGATCTCGAAGCGCCTGGGCAAGCGCTGGAAGCTGCTCAAGGACAGCGACAAAATTCCCTTCATCCGGGAGGCGGAGCGGCTGCGCCTCAAGCACATGGCGGACTACCCTGACTACAAGTACCGGCCCAGGAAGAAGGTGAAATCGGGCACAAACTCCGCGAAGCCGGGAGAGAAGAGCGGGGGTGGAGGGAGTGGCGGCGGCGGCAACAGCCCAGGAGGAGCCGCCGCAGCCGTCGCCAACTCTTCCAAAGTCGCCCTCAAAAAGGGCAGCGCCGCCAAACTCTCCCCCAGTGGCGCCGGCAAGCCGCATCCCAAACTGAGCCTGAGCGGCGGCGGCGGCAGCAAAAGCTCGTCTTCGTTCTCAGCGTCTGAGCAGCCAGCTGCCCTCCTGCCCCCGGAGCACCACTCGCTGTACAAATCCCGCGCCGCTTCACCGGGCTCCTCCTCGCCCTGCAGCAGCAGCAGCAAACACCTCCCCGAGAAGAAGGCCAAGCGGCTCTACCTCTTCTCGCACGCGTCGCCCGGTGGCGCCGTGCCTGCCAGCCCGACGCTGAGCACTTCGACGGAAGCCAGCGACCCGCTCAGCCTCTACGACGAAGCGGGCGCCGCCGCCGCCGCCGGGAGTCAGCAGGACGGGGGCGGCGGCTGCAGGGAGTCCGCGGCTTCCCCCGCGGGCGGCTGTTCCCCGTCGGACCACCGAAGCTATACCAGCCTGAGGGCGCCCTCGCCAGCGCCGTCCACCTCGCACTCGTCGTCGTCCGGCTCCTCTTCCGCCTCCTGCGCTTCCTCCTCCTCGGACGACGAGTTCGAAGACGATCTGTTGGACCTCAACCCGAGCCCGGGCTTCGACAGCATGGCCCTGGGCAGCTTGAGCTCGTCGGTGCTCGACAGGGACCTGGATATTAACTTCGAGCCCGGCTCGGGCTCGCACTTTGAGTTCCCGGACTATTGCACGCCGGAGGTAAGTGAGATGATATCGGGGGACTGGCTCGAGTCCAGCATTTCCAACCTGGTCTTCACGTACTGAGGGGGACGAAGGAGGAGGGGGGGGAAGCAAGAAGCGTGTGCGCGCGCGTGGGGAGCGAGAGAGACGCAAAGACGGCACGGACCCCACGCGCGCTGAGGACAGCCTGGAGAGCGAGCATTTCGGCCACGCTTGTGGAGGGGTGTTTTTTTCCCCCCTCCTTAACGAAACTGACTTGGGGTGTGTGTGTGTGTACGCGTGTGCGTGATTTTGCAAAGAAAACGGCAAAAGGGATCAACCTTTTTTCTTGTTACTTTTTTGGGTTGCCGTTGAGAAAAAGCAACCGCAGAAGTGTCTGTCTAGCGGAACAGATCCTCAGCCTTCCCCCCCGTTTTTCCACGCTCCAGCAGCCGACGAAGGAGTTCCACGTTTCAGAGACTATGGCGAGAATCAAGTGGCTTCAGCAAGAATGCAGGGCGAGGGCGGGGGGTGGCAGCCGCGCACATCTCTCCAGGGTTTGTTTCTTACCCAGTTCGAAGGGATTGGGGGTGGGGAATAGATTGTGCTGTATGCATTAGCTATCTCTGGGGGGTGGGGCGGCGGGGGGGTCCATTGCAAGTAGAACTGCAGGACTTGCAGTGGGGGAGGGGTTAGTCCTAGTTTGCGGGGGTAGAGGAGGGTGCTCTTGGACATCAGGAGGCGATCCGGAGTAAGAGACTGGCCCTGGCAACTGGACTGAGATCCGAAGTGGGATGGAGAGGAAGGAGGCGTTTAAAAACAATGAACTGGAAGCCCGGCAAAGAAGAAGATAATAATAAAACCGAAAAAGGATTTGCACGTATAAAGGAGAAGGTGGCCGCCGTTTTCTTGGTCACCTTATAGTATATACAGAGAAGTCAGTATGTGTGGAATTTCAGCAACACTGAACTTTTTTTTTTTTTTAATTGGAGAAAGATATAGAGTAAACCAAGTTTCTGTAAGGATGTGGTACAGGGGAAATAAAGGGCAGTTGCTCTTTCTTGCGAAAATGTGTTTTTCTTACTCAGAATCGTGATGGTGTTGGATTATTTCACTGGTGGGTTTAATATAGCATGTTTTCCTATCTTTCTGAGGTTTCTGTAAGACTGTTGAACAGTTTAAAAAGAATAGTGTTAGAATAATATAAAAAGCAGATAGATGGCGCTATGTTTGATTCCTACAAAATGATCACCAGCTTTTTTTCATTCTTAACTCTTTAAAGGATTCAAACGCAACTCAAATCTGTGCTGGATTTAAAAAACAAATCAGGACCAAATTTTTTCTCAGTGTATGTGTGCGTGTGTGTGTTTCTTTCTAGATGTAAATGAAGACTTTTTTTCACACCATGATGATCCATCCTTGAAAGGTTTTTTTCTTTGTAAATGAAATTGGATGCCATTTTGTAAAGTGAAATATTTATACTGGCCAAACATTTTTTACTTGTATTACTTTGTCCTTTTTTTAGTAGTTCTGTTGTTACCCACACCATTTTTATGTCACCTTCACCGAAGGGCTAGAGTTTTAACTTTTAATTTTTTATATTTAAATGTAGACTTTTGACACTTTTAAAACAAGAGAAGAGAGATGAAAACGTTTGATTATTTTCTCAGTGTATTTTTGTAAAAAATATATAAGGGGTGTAAATTGCTGTTTTGAATTTCCTGATTATGACAGGGCTGCTGGTTAATCTCTCTCAAGCAAAAAATCAGCCCCTACTTTCATCATGTTTACACTCCAATCTGCAGGCTTCTTAAAGAGACAGTATCCCTTGTATCCACTGTTCGACTCTCTGTAGGAGTTGAGAGAGAGAGAGGGATTGAACTAATAATTCACTGTAGGGCTAACGTCTAACAAATGCAACCCCCTCTCAAAGAAAATAGTATGTTGTACAGAAACAACTGGAGCATTTTCAGGAAAAAAAGGGATCCTGTAGCTTTAACTTGTAAACCACATCTTTTGCACTTTTTTATAAGCAAAAAACAAAAAACCGTGCCGTTTTTAAATCACTGGATCTATCTAAATGCCGATTTGAGTTCGCGACACTATGTACTGCATTTTTTCATTCTTGTATTTGACTATTTAATCCTTTCTACTTGTCGCTAAATATAATTGTTTTAGTCTCTTATGGCATGATGATAGCATATGTATTCAGGTTTATAGCTGTTGTGTTTTAAGATGAGAAAAAGTGAAAACATCTTTGTACATTTAAGTCTGTATTATAATAAGCAAAAGAGATTGTGTGTTTATGTATGTTAATATAACATGACAGGCGCTAGGACATCAGCCTAATGAGGAGGTTCCGTTAAGGGTTTTTTCTTTTTTCTTTTTGTTACTTTTTTTTTGGTCATTCATCCTGTGCAATATGCTGTGTGGAATATCTTTGTCTAACAATCTGCCCATAACACAACATGGGGTGGGGTGGGGGGAAACTGGCTAATTATGCCAAGTTCACTGCCTGTCAGATTGTCAATATACTTTCTGTAAATAACCTTCCCCCCCCCCCAAAGGAAATAAAATCAGCTGGAACTGAACCCTAAAATTCTGCTGTTCTTGTTGTCATTATGGAGGGTTCTTCTGTGCGTTTTGTGTGTCCTCACACATTCTCAGTGAAGATCCTTGCAGGAATTAGTCGGATGTGCCGATTGAGAAGCTGCCTTTCCCCATCCCCCACCACTGGAAGGACTTGGCAAATCACTGCTTCAGACCTTTTGTATATTGTGCTGCTGCTTGCCTGCTTTCTAGGAATGTGTGTATGCATTAAGCAAATGCTAATAGCATTTTCACTGGAAGAATAAGAGGAGGGAGAGGTGTGGGGAGATGGACTTAGCTACACTTGGTAACAGAGAAAGCCATTAGAGATGAAACAGCTACTAGGAATGTGCTTTAAAGAGCCCCTTCGGCCCCTTCAACCATTTGTTCTCTTAGTCTGACCTTGCACTGTGAAAAGCCTGCCTCCTTCCATATCCCTCTGCCAGTAATTCTTCTCTGTGCATTGCCTGGGTGATCATAACTGAAGATGAAGAAGGCACAGTTACTATTCAGAGTAACATTTAGAATTTCATGCATTAGTGCCAAAACAGCTTAGAGTCCATCCTTCAACGTTTTAGAAAATATATTAAATGAAAATAGCTTTAATTTGGTGCAAAAACACACATCCTCTTTTTCCACCCATTTGCTGTAGGCTTGAGGAAAAAAGCATGCAAACAGAACACAGTTTGCATGGAAAATAATTTACACACAGGTTGCAGAGGACAAGTGCAAACTATAAACAGTTTTAACTTGAGCTCTTAAAGATGACTTCAGCAGCTAGTAGTTCCTTTAGCCTTCTAGATAATCCTTTTTAAGTAGATGTGAAATATTAGGTCAGTGGGTGAATCATTAAGTGCTGAGGCGGCTTTGATGAAGCTTAGAATTTGCATTGCAGGTAAGTAAGATGGAAATTCACAGATAGACCCTCCTCAGTCATGAACTCAATCATAGCAGTTGTAATGACCTAAAAAAACTGGAAGTTCATCTGACCAAATTTATTTTTAAACCACCTCCTTTTAAAAGGGGCGGGGACCTGAGCTGGTGCTTCCTCATTGAGAACCTTGATTAATAGGCTCTGTCTTAAACACACTTGAAAATAATTTGTTTTGAACTTACCTGACAGGATGGGGCTTTTAAAGAGCATTTTCCAACAGGTGAATTTTTTCATAGTGAAAAATATGTTTGATTTGTTGTTGAGCTGAAAGGGGGATACACTAGACTGGTTAGTTTGTAACAATTTTGTTAATTTTGATAAAGGTAGTCCATCAGGTGAGTACTAATACATTATTTTAAACACATGTTAAACAAGGTGCTTCTTTCACAAAAGGATAAACACTAGGAGTTTCAAGTCATGCAAATAGTGATGGGAAGAAATGGAGAGAATGGTTTCCTAGTTACTACAATCAAGTGAAGGCTGTATAGTACCTCATGTGATGTTGCTTGCTTTCTTCACCCAGATGATAACCTTCCTGGTACTGTAGTTCCCTGGCAGGCTTTTGAAGAAATTCAAGGAAAGGTAGACTTTCCGAAGTTACTAATCTAATCATGTTTCACCTTAATAAGCTTACGAGTGGAAGACCATATTAAAATTCAGTGCATCCCCAGCATAGTCAGGATTCCACTAGGACAGGAGCCTTGTGGTGTGATTTGGGCCTTAGGAAGGCCCTCTTTTCTCTCCTACTTTTCCGAAAAGTGTTTCCATTGTGCCATATATCACTAAAGATCACATAAATGTTTATTACTACAAAGCTGAATGGTGAGAGGACTATTTTAATCTTGCCACGTGTACCCCTCAATCCTAATTACCTGTGGGATACTATAAGCTCTTACAAGCTCAAACGAGTGATTTCCTGCCTCCATTTTTCTTTCTCTCAACTGGTAACTTTAAGATTCAATTAATTAACTGCCCACAACCACTTAATTTGAGACACTGTGCCTGACTCCTGTTTTCTAGCCCTATTTCTTCATCAGAGTTGTAATCACAGTTGTCTATTTAAAATGTGCCATTCAGTTTGAAACCGATTGTTTCCTTTGCAAGTAATGAGTTATCTCAGTGCTCTCAACATTACGTGGGCTCTGGAAGCTCATAGCTCCTGAAAAACCCCTCTAAATTTTTCATGATTGTTATTGTGGTACAAATATTTGCATAACAAGGGGGAGTATAGAAAACATTACCTCATTTTTGTGACTTGTTGTAGAGCTCAAGCACATGGTATATACATCTCTGACAGGATCTCCTGAGATTTTTACTTAATATCAGATAAGGAGAAACATTGGAGTGAAGAAGTGATTGGGAAAGGGTCTTGAATTTTCTTCCCCAACATTGCCATGTCATTTTCCAAATTAAATTGCCCTTGTCCCAGCAGCCATTTTCCAGGTATGGGAAAAAGGCAGGTGCCTATATTATATCTGTATATTTTTTCCCAAAATGGCAAGCAGGCTGTTCTGGCTTGGGGGCTGTAGTAATTTATATAATGGAAGTTGCACGGAGGAGAAGAGCCATCAGCAGTGTCACTGTTCCAAGCCAATTTGGTGACATTTTGTTTGCTTCAGGTTCCAAACAAACATCAAAAGATCCAATCATGGATCTTGGAGTGATTGTAGGAACAACAGACTTCCCACTCAGCCTCTTACACTACCCTGTTAGCTGTTTTATCCACAGGACTACAACAACATGTGAATATTTGTATGAATACTTCAGCTTAACTGTGAACTAGAATCTCAGAAGAGTTACAGAGCTGGAAGGGGCCTTGGAGGCCTAATCTACTCACCTGCTTAATACATGACCTACAATACATCTTGCAAGCACAACATGGCTATGCTGTCTAGTTTAATACCTTGTTTAAAAGTGATGAGAACGCATCACTTCCTGGGATAGTCTGCCTTGCACTGTCAAACACTTCTTACCATTAGGAAGTTTATCCTGATATTTAGCCAAAATCTGCTTCTCTCCAGTTTTCCCACTGATTCTAGTCTTGTTGTCTGGAGCAATACAGAGCAACAGCCCTTCGGCTATTTTAAAACAGTTATGTAACCTGATTACATACTCAGGATCATACTGAACAGGGCTCCATCTTATTCAATACTTTTTTTAGCAGCCTTTGGGCACAATTCTATGCATGTTTAGACAGAAAAACAGCTTACAAGATCCTGGCATACCCCATACTTAATGGGACTTAAGTTAGACTAATAATGGAGCCATGCATCAGACTGTGTTCATAAAGAGTATAAATTACTTTCATCATATTTTCTAATGATACAGCATGATCACTACACACTGTGACTAAACAATAATACAACATGAATGACAAAACTCAGGGAAATGGGATAAAATTACTTGAGAGTCAGGTGTTTGGGCTGAATAAAGCATTATTTGGATCCTTCTTGAAGGAGACTTGTAAGCTTAAAATGAAGGTCAGTCATACAGGCCATCTCAAGGCTTGGTTAATCAAAGAGGAGGGTAACCTGCAATTATAGAGTTGGTGAGCATCCTCAAAATTTTGATAGCAAATGTATAATATTGATGTACAAGCAGATGAAAGCTTGAATAGGCCTCACCTGGAATAACTGGTTTAAAAGAATGATACAAAATTTGAATGTGTGGGGACATAAATCCAGTGAGAGTGGATTTTCTTTTTCGGTCTTGGGGGAAAAAAATCAGGGTTGCTTCAGTTTAGCTGAAAAGGGTGGGAAGGGGGTGTATTTCAGAGGGATAGTAGTTCTGAGCTCTGATCAGTATTAGCAAGCCCTACTTAAAAATAGATCCATAGATTTTGACTGAGACTTAAGTTAGACTAACATTGGAGAAACCTATATTTGGAAAATTATTTTGGTTATTAAAAAAGAACATGGGTAAAATAACAGCTGTACACAACAGTTCATTAACTGTACTAGTTATTCTCATCCCCCCAGTTCCCCATCAAAGAGACAGCAGAATGCTCTCAGTCCATTCAAGGGACACATAGCTCAGAAAGTTATCACATAATGATTTTTAATTTGATAAGTATCAACATTTTTTTTTGGTTAGAAAATACATATTTCCCATGATATGTTGGTTCTTCTGCTCCTCTGAGGTGGAAGTGGATGGTCTGGGAATGTTGACTCTCACTTGTAAAGAGAGGTCCACAGCTATTGACAGCAGGCAACTATGTTAGCAGGGGGTTTTTTTTGGGGGGGGGGTTGGAAAATTTGCCATCCAGTCCTATTCATCTTAACCTTATAATAAATCCTACTTAGTTCAGTGGGCATACTTCTCATCCAAGCATGCTCAGAGTTAGAGCTGTAGACAGTTTTCAGGCTGAGGCTCTTGCTAGCAATAGGCTTACCAAACTACATGCCTGATATTCATGAATTCTACATGGACAGTGGTGGTTCCTCCGGTGGTCCTTGTATAATCAGCTTGAGGTCAGGGCCACTGGGGTACAAAACCAGCAAGAGTAGCACTGAACCCCTGCACTTAGACTTGTATAGGCTACTTGTATAGGCATTACTGCTGTAGAGAAAAGCTGCACCTGAAAAGAAAAAGCACCTCCTGTGGACAGGTCTTCCTGGAATGAAGCCTTACCAAAAGCTACAACCGAATACCAGCAGCATAGCTCCTATCTATCATGGTAGCCATGGTTTAGCAGTATGAGGAAGGGCCAGAGAGAATTGTGGGCTCATGCATTTCTACATCTAATGTTCCCTGGCATGGGCATAAGGAGGAGATTGGAAGCTTTTACTTCCATTTTACATTATTGAGTATTTTGCCTTATCCACACACAGTTCCGTTTGACATCCATGTCTAAACCCAAATGGTGGAGAAGGGAAAGCAGGACCATTCCACCGGGCCTCTGAAGACAACATCCAGGAAGGCCCTTCCTGCCCCATGGATAACCACCTACAGCCATTCAAGCAAGCTAAACTGAGAAAGATGGAAATGGGAAGCAGGACCTTTCTACCAGCCCTGCTGAAAGAATGATTGTTCCCTTCTTTTGTTCCTATTTCTTTTCTTTGTGTGTCA